CGCGGATCTGAGGATCCGCCGACAGAGGAATTGATATGGGCAGGACTTTGAGAAGGGACCTGCAAAGGGATGATATGGACGACTTTTGTCTCGAGTGTCCGAGCGAAGGAGGAATCGGAGGGACCTCGGGAGTCCCAGACAGCTCCGCATAGGGAGGATTCTGGAACGAAGCCTCGCTTGCAGATTTCAGCGTTGCGACAGTAGGGGTGCGAGATACTGGGGCCACGTTAGTCGACCTGGATGCCTCTTTTCCGTAGCGCGAGTCTTACCTGTGGAAGCAAGAGTTGTCCCTGATAGGATCTCTGCTGCTTCGCATGCCTGGTCTGTATCAAGCCGAAGTTGAGACTTTGGGCGTATCGGCCGAGGATGTTGAATAATCGGCGAAAAGGCCTTTTCCATAAGTTCGTCGTTGCCAGACGGTATATATACCCCCTGGGTGCCGAACGTGACATCAGGCCCACGGCAAATATAGTAAATGTCATTCGTCAGGCAGCTTTCTCTGTCGAAGCTTGTTTGGGAACGGACACTGTCGCCGCGGATCGACTGCCGCTGCGAGTATACGCCCAACAGAGACAGGTCGTAAGGTCGGCGGCAAAGCTCGCGGGAGCAGAAATAGAGACAGACAGTTATACTGAAGATTCTCATCAGAACATTTCCCATTACAACTGGGGACTTGCCATCACTTACAAGGATAGAACCGAAACGATAACGGCAGCTCTATGAAGCGCACAACTGACACCGGTTTTCCAGAAACCACCGTTCATACTGTCCGGAAGACATGAAATCTGCTGCGAAATGACCACCAAGCCTGCCACACTCGCTGCTACCCAGGTAATTGTTGTTAGCCGCAGGAGATACGTGCACACGCCGTGCAAGAATTTCTTTTGCCGCCGGAATCCTTGGACTCTGTTGTATTGCCACGCGAGTAGGCTATGCAAAACCACAAGGGGAACGGTGAAGAGAGACTGTGCACTCCACAATCAGAATCGGTTCATAATTATGACAGGTACGGCGAGAGAGATCTTACCGCGATGAGAATCAGAACCAAGCTCGGCAGCATCTTGGAATCGACTTGTCGGTTGACGAACAGGTATATCACAAGCACCCATTCTATGAGCGATTCGAGCAACAAGACATATAGGGAGACAAATATGACGACCTTGGTCCATGATCCTCGCCTTTGAAGCGTTGTAGGCAGATCAGCCATGATGAAATGTGGGACAGCAGCTCGAGACGCTGTATCACAGGCTCGGTATAAAAGAGCATCCACACAATGGAACAGACCGGGTATCTGTTATCTACGCACGCAATAAGTGGGAGGGAAGAAAGGCCACAGCGGCAGTCGAGGCCGTTGATTGCAGAAGTCTTATTGTCGGGTGATCAGGATAGCTTATAGACATATTGCATAGAGAAATGTCAAATAGCAAGGTAAAAGAACGAGCTGAAGAGTAATAAAAGGAGAGCTGTAAACTGATCTCTTGCAGGCGCGTCAACAAAAAGGATCGGAATGTAGACGGGAGAGACATAGAGTGCAAACTGCAGACAGCGTCGACCGCGTGTCCCAGATCCTGAATAACACCTAAGCTTGAAGGAATTAGAGGAATTAAGGGCACCAGAATGGAAGATCGTAGTTCTGGAATGTTAGCCTGAAGGACGGTTGACAGCTCGCCAAAAGTGATTGGTGGTGCCAGAGGGGTGCATTGAGGAGTCGAAGCTCATTTCAATTGCTAGGTCATCACATTTTCATCACTTGAAGGAGTTGACCCTTTCAACGAAATTCTGATGAACCTGCGTATGTGCATCAGTATGAAGGAGTTTCAAGCGCCTGGACTCATACTTCGAGCCACTGTCGAGGGCAAGTCCTCGATTTTCATCCACTGAGACGCAATCATTTCCAAGGTGACGGAGTACAAAGGACGGGAACAGCGAGACAGTGCATTGATGAATGAGACAAAGGAATTTTTGAATGTAGGAGCAACCACAGGGGTACAGGATAGGATTGTTGAAGAGGAAAAAGGGAGGTCCAGTTGGTGCATGTGGTCAACGAAGGGATGCACGTGACCGTGTGGAAGTAGACACGTTAATACTCAGTTCGAATGGATTGAAGGGCGTTTATCCCCTGTAGGAATTAATCATGGACTGTTTCGTGAGATAGAGTTGTCTTTTTCCTTTTGCCTGTGTCAAGGGTTGAAGCTATAACGGCATGATGCAATCAATGCTCGCCTCGACTCTGCTGCCACCTTATGCTCTCTCACGCCGGAACGGAAGATGATCAAATGATTCTGCTCATAGATTGGTCTAGTCTATCGGTATATATATCGGTATAGATTGCTAATACATTTCCATTCAGTCTTTTCGAGAGTCACTCGTTCAGAGAATGGATGTTCGGTTTTTTGGTACTTTTGACTCTGTCTCCAAATCAGAGTGTACCGCGCTTACCTCGACGTCTTGCCGTCCATCTCGAGGTCCGGCAGACTTTCGGCCTCGCAGCCGGTTCAGCAGAGGGTCGACCACGGGCAAACGTCCATGACGTTCCTTGTGACGCATAGCCACAAACCAGACGATCACAACAATCCAGTAGAAGTTATATGAAAGGACGGAACCATAGGTCGCCGAGTTCGTCCAGCCAAGGACGGCGTTGAAGATACCCCATCCTCCGCCACCATTAATGAGGGGACTACAGCAGTTTACATGCCAGACGCTTTGTCGGATGTCATACGATCCCGGACCGGCACCTGTCTCGGCAGCATCACCACCAACTCGGTGGTTCCAAGTATTGTTCTCCAGATACCAGACGCCTCGGGAGAAGAGGCCGGCAGCAACCAGGTAGAGGAAGCAAGTCGAGATGATCAGGAAGATCTGGAGCGAGGCCTGGTTTCCTCCACTGCAGGCCATCAGCATGGTGGTCTACTCGAGAAGACAGCTGATTCAGGGGTTCAACATACCGATAAAGTAGATATCCAATGGCCACTCCCGCGAGAAGACCAGTAAAAACAGGTAGAGGGAAGGCAGTTGCAGGAAAACTGAGACTGACGCCTCCAATGAACACCACCGCTTCGAGACCTTCACGGAGAACGGTGATGAAGGGGAGGAGAAACATGGCGTATTTCTCCGCCCATAGTTTGAGGTTGTTTTTGAATGTGCCACGAGTCAACGGCTTTGCTTCCAGGGCCTGAGCTAGCTTGACGCGCCACTTCTCCTGCAACTTGGTGACACGAAGCAGTGCGGCACCCATGATGGTGATGATGACACTGGCTACCAGGGAGAAGATGCCCTCCCACAGATCCTCCGTACCAGCGAAGTGATCTTTGCCATAGCCGTAGAAAGCTCCAATCATGCCAGCTCCGATGCAAATAGAGATGAACAATCCAACGCCGACTCCCCACCACACCTAGAAGATCGGAAACCACACGGTCAGCCTGAAGTTCGGAAAAGAGACGGGAATACGTGATTGAAGGAATAAATGAGCCTACCTGTCTGGTCAATCTCTTACGTGTGAGAGCATCTTGCTCTCGTCCCAAAGTTTGCTTGATGAATGAGAGCAACACAGAGACAATGATGCTGGTCTCGACACATTCTCGGAAACAGATAAAAAAGACTGAGGACAGGCGAAGAAAAGGTTAGTATACTTTTCTAAAAAGTAATTCAAGTCCAGTCAGAAACCCATACTTGGAACAGCAAATACGTCTTTCGTCATCTTGTGAGTTGAGAGGGAGATGACAAAAGAATCGAAAACGGAGACTTGACCATGAGAAGGGGGTTGGGGGTCGGGGGAGTTGTGGAGGATAATATCAATTTAGTGGACTGATCGATAAAGATTGAAAGATTGATTGATATGATAAATATTATCTAAGCAGAAGGCAAAAATATTAGTTACTTGATTGATTGATAAAAAAAAAGGGTTAAAAAATGCGCACAGTCACGAGGGGAAAACCCCTCGATTATCTGATTGATAAAATGGCGCAGGAAACGGAAACTGCGGCAACAAACCGGAACGGGAGGACTCAACACGACAAGAGAGAAAGTCAGAATAACACAGATGTCTTCTGGTTGGGTCGGTTTGACCAACAGCGAGGATGTATTGGATGGTGGCGCTCAACCGGCTGAACTTTACGAGCAAATTCGTGGACCTAAAACCCATGAACAAATGGATCATCAGCCCATCGCACTCCGTACGGAGTACTCCGTAGTCTTTTTCTTTCTCAAGAATCTAATCTCAATACATCAGATTCTGGCCGATTCTGATACAAAAGAGAAAAAATCTTTACTGCCCACACACAGAGGAAGCAATAAGGAATCACCAAGCACTGAAGACAAAAAAAGATACGCATGATAAGCTCGCACTAGAGATGGTGGATCTTGTGGGCAGACACAAAAGGACAAATTAGCATTCGATCCATCATTGGACTCGAAGGACGATGAACCCTGGCACGGAGAGAAACGAAGGTTGATTGTGGACAAGGAAGGTCATTATCATCGTCGTCGTCGTCGTCGTAACCCTAATTAATATCAATCAAACTCATCGTTATGAAATTAGTGCCTCATGTTGTAGCACTGCTACAGTAGCTCGTTCTCCCCACATCAGCGAACCATGCATGGACTACAGGATCAATTATTAAACGACGGAAGCGGTTGCATCATATGAGACCAAGGTAGGTAGATTAGATAGACATTATTATTATTATTATTATTATTATTATTATTATTATTATTATTATTATTATTATTATTATTATTATTATTATTATTATTATTATTATTATTATTATTATTATTATTATGATTTATGATTTATGATGAATATTCCTAGCCACTCGGTGACAATAAAATTGACTTTTGGCACGATGCCGCGGGGAGACTAAAAAAAAGCAAAAAGCTCTTATCAATCAGTTGCCATTCCGACCATCCCCCATTTTCTTTCTATTGGAAGTTGAGATTCCCTTCCACCTCGGTTCAGTTCTCGACCTCCTCAGAAATCGTCCATTATCTTTGGAGGTGCCATGGCAGTTGGCCTCCTTTTGTTGACGGCGTTTGTCGTCCACATCCTGTCAATTTCTGCTGCCACGCTCAACTACGACTGGAACATCACCTGGGTCACCGCTAATCCGGATGGTCAATTTCAGCGCCCTGTGATTGGCATCAATGGTCAATGGCCCCCTCCAGTGCTCAATTTTACCAAGGGTGACCGCATCATTGCAAAAGTGCATAATGCGCTGGGAAATGAGACCACCAGTATCCACTGGCATGGGTTCTTTCAGAATGGGACCAACCATATGGACGGTCCTCCATCGGTCACTCAGTGCGACATCGCCCCAGGTTCTACCTTTGTCTACAATTTCACCGTCAGTATACTATGCTGTAGAAGCTACTGATTTCATGTCAAGTCTAACGATCTGCACAGGTTGAGCAATCTGGCACGTATTGGTACCATTCTCACACGAAAGGCCAGTTCCCTGATGGGCTCCGACAGGCCTTGGTGGTGACCGACCCCAAGAATCCGTATATCGGGCAGTATGATGAGGAGCGGGTCATTAGCTTGTCCGACTGGTATCACGACCAAATGCCAACGCTCTTGAAGTCATTCATTAGCGTCACCAATCCCACCGGCGCGGAGCCTGTGCCCAAAGCGGCTCTGATGAACGACACTCAGAACCTCACTGTCGCAGTCGAGCCGGGCAAGACATACCTTTTTCATTTGGTCAATGTGGGTGCGTTTGCCAGTCAGTATTTTTGGATCGAGGGACACACGATGAAGATTGTCGAGGTGGATGGTGTCTGGACCAATGCATCGGAGGCTCAGATGATCTACATTGCTAGCGCACAGCGCTACAGTGTGTTGGTAACCATGAAGAACGAGACGAGCCAGAATTACGCCATGATGGGCAGTATGGATACGGTATTTACATCAAATTCTTCAAGATGATGCCCTCAGCTGACGAATTGTACAGGATCTCTTCGATACACTTCCCGAGTCGTTGAATTATAACGTGACGGGATGGCTGGTATATAATGACAAGGCCGACAAGCCAACTCCATCTTCAATCTCCGCATTTGAGCCTTATGATGACTTCAACCTGGTACCGGTGGATGGCATGGCTCTGCACCAGGAAGCAGATTATACGGTCACTCTGGACGTGACGATGGATAATCTGGGAGACGGGGCCAATTAGTAAGAGCAACAACCCAGACGGTCTGATAGTCAGCATTCAAGGAACTTAAGGCTGACTCCGCATAGTGCTTTTTTCAATGGAATCACCTATGTCATGCCCAAAGTTCCGACGTTGTATTCGGCACTGACGACCGGCTCAGCGGCAACAGATCCTGCCGTCTATGGGTACAACACAAACCCAATTGTCCTCAAAAAAGGGGATATCGTCGACCTTATCCTCAACAACGATGATGCTGGAAAGCATCCTTTCCACTTGCACGGACATACGTTCCAGGTGATTGCACGCAGCGAAGAGAACGCGGGACACTATGATCCCAGCAACCATACGACATTCCCATCCGTCCCAATGAGGAGGGATACTGTAGTGGTCCGGCCGCAGGGCAATTTTGTCCTCCGTTTCCAGGCCGACAATCCGGGTATGTGTGCTACGAGCCTCTTCATCGCAATGAAGCTAATCAGTTGACCACACTAGGCGTCTGGCTCTTTCACTGCCACATCGAATGGCACATGGATTCAGGACTAGCTGCGACCTTTATCGAAGCGCCTCTGGAACTGCAGAAGACGCTCAAAATCCCCGAAAATCACTACCAGACCTGCGAGGCTAGCGGTACCCTGACCGCGGGAAATGCGGCCGGAAACACCAAAGATTTGTATGATCTGACGGGCCAGAACGTATCTCCCGCACCGCTGCCGGCGGGATTCACGGCCAAGGGCATCGTTGCCCTGGTGTTCAGCTGCATTGCAGCTATCCTGGGATTATTGTCGATAACTTGGTATGACCGATTGACTGGATTTAGGCGTATGCACTTGTTGACTGACCGAAAACAGGTACGGCATGGCGCCGATTACTGCGCCTCAGACTTGCTCGGCTCAGAGTAATGGTTCGGACGAGAATTGAGGGCCGTCTACATTGTGAAGGATTCGCATCGATCCAGCAGTCGGTAACATCTTTACGTTTAGCCCGACGTGAGGTGCAAGGTATATTAGACCCCGCTTACAGTTTGTGGTAGGTCTCTAGAGTGCTTCGACACTATTGCTATACGGTAGATTGCCACTAAAACCTGCACACGCTTCTTGAATACCACTATGTATATATTCATAATGATACCTTTGAATTGAAGAGAATCCGACACGCCGTCCGTTTCGATGCTACAGCGCAGCTCAATCACAGCACAGCAATACACTCAATCTCCACATCCGTATTCAGCGGCAACGTCTTGACAGCCACACAACTACAACGCATCAGCTTTCAGATCCCCAGAGCAGTAATAATACATGAGGGATGTAACATACGTCCGGCAGGGCTTCACATCCCCCCAGTACTGCGTATAGACCGAGTTCATATCGGCAAAGTTATCCATGTCCGACAGGAACACATTGACCTTGACCACCTTGTCGATGGTGGTGCCGGCCGCCTCGAGGACATGCGTGAGATTCTTGATGCATTGATGCTGCAAGCCTTCTGTCAGTCATCCATTTCCTTCTTCTTTCGTCACTCAGCGAGAGACAAAAAGGTATATTGGAGTACCGTGTGAGCCTTGACATCCCCCTCGATCAATTTGCCCGTCTGCGGATCCATCGCGACCGCTCCAGAGCAGTAGACGACACCATTGGCGATGATGGCCTGCGAGTAGATGCCAGGGAGAGGCTTGGGGGCTTTTTCGGTGAGGACGGGGGTTTTGGTTGCCATACTGATGTTGACTCTCTCTATAATATAAACTACAGGAAATAGAACTTTGTTGTGCGGGGTACCATCCTGTCTTATATATATCTATGAGAATATCACTCCTTACGGTAAATCGGGCATACATGCGCATCTACAATGCATGGATGCAGGAATGCATCGTATCTGTTATCGATCTGCTTCCCCCACGCGGGGAACCAAGGCCGTGTGCCAATTGCGTGGGAGAGTTGCATTTGGACCCCCCACGACACGGCAGTTCATTGTAACTTGGCCTTGGCCTTGGATTTGACTCCATTACCATGCTCGTACTGCTTGCTACCTTGCATTGTCTGGCAAGGAGGTTGTCCTTTTGATTATCTACCGTGTGTCATCCAGTGGATATCTCACAGTTCCAGCGACATGGTGATCGCCATGTTCAACGGTTTCCTTGATAGTCTCCTTAATAATCAAGAGGATCAGGTCATCCTGCACAGGTAGATAAGATACTTTGGACACAGTTGCACCCCCACGGCCTTGGGCCCTTGGTTTTCGAGAAGAACTTACTCCGCAGGAACGGAATGTAACCAACCTGAGGGGAAGGTTCCAAATACCAAAGTAAATGAACCTTCAGCTCTAATTATCTACTCACTATTCCCATCAATTGCTGCTTCAATTGATATCATCCGTAACCTGCTCTATTCCGTTCCTGTGTGAGTGCCAGAATCACAATGTCCGTCTCAACCGACGTCTCGCAACCGCCATATCCCTTGCATGACTCCGTCAAGGACAAGCTCGACCCAGAATATGTCGACTTCTACAACAAATATGTAATCAACCTTCAACAAGTCCATCTCCAACCGGTGGCTGCCTCGAGAACGAGCGGTGTTCTGATCCCCGGCGGTGGTCCTCTGCTCGACGTTGGAAAGACAGAGGATATCACCATCAAACGGAGAGCGACCGAGGGGCCTGATATTCTGCTCCGCAGCTTCATACCCACAGGGGAAAAGCCTGCAGATGGCTGGCCGGTAATGCTGTACTTTCACGGCGGGGGATGGGTGCTAGGAAATATCGACACCGAGAATCCAGTATGTACGAACCTCTGTGTTCGAGGGAACTGCGTGGTGGTCACAGTTGATTATAGGTAAGTCTTCGCCGACGACACCCTGTCGACATTCAGTCGCTGATGTTACAGATTGGCCCCTGAAAACCCGTGGCCGGCTGCCGTCCACGATTGCTGGGAAGCCCTCCTCTGGCTCATCTCCGACGGTGCCTCGGTGCTTCCCATCGACTCATCCAAGATGGCGACAGGAGGCTCGTCAGCCGGTGGGAATCTGGCTTCCATCATCACGCATAAAGCCCTCACCCTCTCGCCACCGGTGCGCTTTCGCGCTCAGCTGCTCTCCGTTCCCGTCATGGACAACACAGCGACCGTAGACAACAACGAGTCCTATCGTCTGTATGAGCATACACCCGCTCTCCCCGCAGCGAAGATGATCTGGTATCGCAACCATTACCTCCCCAACATAGCAGATCGCACCAATCCCGAAGCCAGCCCTCTCTTTTATGATGATGACTGGTCGCAACTGCCGCCGGCCTTGATTATGGTGGGGGAGCTGGACGTCTTGCGCACAGAGGGGGAGCAGTATGCGGCGAAGCTGAGGGAGGCGGGAGTGGAGGTGGATCTGCAGGTGATGAAGGGGATGCCGCATCCGTTTCTCGCCATGGATGCGGTTCTCAAGGAGGGCAAGCGATCTATCACCTTGATGTGCGATATGTTAAAGAGGGTTTTTTGGTAGTCATGAGCCTCGTCAGCCTCGATTATGATATCATATTCATGAGCAGAATGCTAGAAACCAGTGCCGCAATTGGCAAAGACAATGCGATAGTTGATCACACTAGGATGGGAAAGATCAGTAGACGAGCTGCATCCTACCTAGCTGACATCGTAAAGAGGCTGCTGGGTAGATATTAGGATTGAAAACGTTATGCTTCGCAAGTCTTAATGCGACCATCATTTCAACATGTGAGTGAGGTAACCGGGAGTACAGGTAAATTGGTATCATGCCACAGATGCAATGCAACGCTCTCCGCCTTGAGGAGGTCAGGACAGACGCTGGACCATCCAGGATACTCCTCAAGGAGAGATGCTTTCCCCATACCAGGGCCCGTATGGTAAGTTGCTCTTGAGCGTGATCAGTCTGAACTCATACGTTAATTTGGTCTCTTTCAGTCCCCGGCTTCTTGAGTACCACGATGGCTAAGCGAGCTCCGCAGTGCCTGACCCCTAAATTAAACAAACCCTGCACTGATCATGTATTCATCCTCGGCCTGTTTCCGTGGCTTGCTTGTCTCATGCAATCGAGCGTCAGTCATACCGCAACTCTGAGCGTGTTCCGAGAAGGGAAATGATCAGAGCAGAGGCGAGCAAGACACCGAAATCCGACGATGTCGGAGTGATGCCTCAACTCTAGAAAAAGGATCTATGGAAGAACCATTCTGGAAGTAGAATAGCTTCATAATCGAAATGGGACCACGAGCAGTATGTCTACCCTTTGTCCCTTGTACCATATAAGAAAGGTCCTGCTTGAGAGAGGAAAATCCATGACCATTAGTATCCAATGAATATTCAGGGACATGAAGTTATTCTGGTCCAGATATCTCGACAGAGACTTTGGAATCGCCTTTTCATTGTTCGATTTCTTCTCAGGCTCATTCTTCCATCTTATCCGACAAGCACTGCTGGGACTTCCTTGCTGCACTCATGCCCAGCCCAGTTCCTGAGTGATACTCCGTACTTGCGGCGTAATCCGTTGAGTACCTGAGCTATATCGTTAGCGCGAGCCTTAGCATGGATGGTTGATAAATAACTTGTTAAGCACAGAGAACATACTTCATGTGCTTGTGATTCGATGCGATCCATCCACCCAAAAGGCCTGAGCCCCAAACAGGTCCAGACTGGTGGAGATTTCTCATCTTACTCTGGGTCAGTGGCGAGAGGCTAAGAGCAGCCTTTGGGCAGATGTAACTCTTGAAAATTAGCCTGAGAAGCAGCCTCATAGTTACCTATTAGTTAATAATTTCCACTGGCTTGTGATTGTTAAAAGTTAGTATCTTGAATTTCCTTGAAAGTCCGACAAAAATAATAATAATAGTAGAGTAAAGTTGAATATGACCGAAGCCTTTGTATAGACTGAATGATCTAGTCCCTACCTACTAGGTAATGATGATATGATCAACAGGAACGACAAATCCCTCGGATGATCCGGCACGTTCTCCGGTGCTAAAGTAGGTATTTGTGTGTCATTCGCACTAAGCGAAAGTCATGACCAAAAATCCCGGGTAATTGACTTTTTCATTTTTGCTGGCCCTGGAGAATTTGTTGTGACTTTGCCCGAAACAGGAAAGTGCCATGAAGGGAAAAACAATGCCAAGACCAGAATCAGGCCAGCGCTAGATCTTCGCAATATGATTGGTGTTCCTGAAGGTCTGGAGCCTGCCAGCCAGGCAACAGTCCCCTCGCTAAGCTGGATAAGGAAGGCACGACCATGCGACTCGACTTTGAGGCTATTGTATTGGACTTGGGGCTAGACTAGGCTAGTTCCAGTAACACCCAGGAAACCAAGCAATCCCGAGTCAAGTAAGTCCAGTCCCCAGGGCATCTCGGACCCTTTCATTCGCTCCTCTTCTTCATCGCTTACGGAGGAGATAACAGACTAAGGTACCACAGCATCGCTTACTCCCCTTTCACGCCCCTCGCCATGTGGTGGTAAAAGAAAAGAAACGAAAAGAAGAAAAGAAACAGATCTTATTCGACTCATTCATGATTCAAAGCCTTTCCATTGTGTCGATGAATGGCTTTCCTCATGTATCGCTTGGAGTTGATTTATCATCCTGGCTGTCTTCCGGCCTCATCAGGGACTAGCTAGACACCAAGGGGCCCTTTCTTGATTTCATCTCCTTGACCCTGGTGGTAAAATTCATTTCATCCCAACTACGAACTAATGCGTGCGCTGTCACTAATGCGGAACTAGGGACCATACCATTGATCACTCATGAGTCGTGATAGTGGAGGAATAATGGACCTTGCTCCATGCGGCTCTTTTGTCGGCTGTTCCCACTTTCCACATCGAATCAGCACTCTCATCGCTGCCACTGACTCAACGGCAATATCGGCCGGGTCTATCTCGCAATTTCCGTTGCCACTCGGCTGTCCAATCTGGTGACGCTTTCCAGTCCGTAGCGCCCTCAGACCCCGGCAGATTGCCTGTTCCTAGTCGACTTCCACCTCTACCTCTCTGCCACTTGCTGAAACCTGAGAGAAATGGGTTCGTTTGTCCGGTAGGCTCACTAGGCTGTGCCTGTTGGAACTCAATCTGGCAAGGCGCTGAATGGAGTTCATATTTCCACTACGAACTTCCTGCTATCATCCCTGCAATTCTCCATTCGAGACCGCAACGGTGCCTGGGGGGAAGTCTCCGTACTATTTTAGGCCAACAATAATGGGATATGGCTGCGAAGACGCGCATCTGTAATCTCCGAGCTAGCAAGATGGTTGGTCGTCGACTTCTCCGTTCGTAGTCATATATAGGTCTCCCTCATGTCCACCCATCTCATTGAAGATATCTCTCCTTCTCCTTGGTCTGGCCTTCCCACTTCACGAGTCCTCGTCCGTTGAGAGACCGTTCGACCGCAGCAGACTTTTGTCTGCGTCCTTTCGTTGACCCTCACCGTCTTCACTCCTTTCTTGTGCTGTAGTTCGCCTGGGATTCTAATCCCGCTGTCATTCTTTTTTTTGCCAACATGGTGTCCAGCAAGTTTTCTCTCGTCGCCACGGCTGTTGCAGCCCTAGCTCCCCTGGCGTCTGCTTTCGATGCCTCCTCGAGATCCAACCTTGCCATCTACTATGTACGCTTCGACCGTAGCATTCGCCTTGGCTTCCGGTTTCTGCATGCTAATCATTGTCTTGTAGGGTCAAGGTCCTGACCAGCTCCGTCTGAGCCACTTCTGTCAGGAGACCTCCTTGGACATCATCAATATTGGATTTATCAACTATTTCCCCGATATGAGCCCTGGAGAATGGCCGGGCTCCAACTTTGGCAACCAGTGCGACGGTTCCACCTACATTACTAATGATGGCGTTGTAACCAAGTTGCTGTCCGGCTGTCATCAGATCATGGAGGACATTCCCATCTGCCAGGCGGCTGGTAAGAAGGTCCTGCTGTCCATCGGTGGTGCCTATCCCGCAGACCAGAGCATCCTCTCCGAGGAGTCTGCCGTCGCGTTCGCCACTTTCCTGTGGGGAGCTTTTGGCCCAGTCGCTGAGGGTTGGGAGGGTCCTCGTCCCTTTGGGAATGTCGTTGTTGATGGCTTCGACTTTGACATCGAGCACAACGGTGGTTTTGGTATGTTTTCTGGACGTCTGAAGGCTGCATGGATCTCTTTCGGTTTTGAACCTTGTCGCTGATGGAATACTCCCCAGGCTATGCTACCATGGTAAACACCTTCCGTGAGTATTTCGACCAAGTGCCAGACCGCAAATTCTATCTCTCGGCTGCTCCTCAGTGTCTCATTCCCGATGCCCAGCTCGGGGATGCGATCTTTAACTCCGCCTTCGACTTCATCTGGATTCAATACTACAACACCGCTGCTTGCTCGGCCAAGAGCTTCGTCGACAACACTCTCGGAACGTTCAACTTCGACGCCTGGGTGACCACCCTCAAGACGACTGCCAGCCGCAACGCCAAGCTCTATGTTGGTCTGCCGGCCAGTGAGACTGCGGCCAACGCGGGTTACTACCTTACTCCCGAGGAGGTGGAGTCCCTGGTTTCCACCTACATGGACAAGTACCCTGACACCTTTGGAGGTATCATGCTTTGGGAGGCTACCGCATCTGAGAACAACAAGATCGATGGCACCACCTATGCCGACCACATGAAGGATATCCTTTCGGACTGTGACCCGAGCCCTCCCGTAACCTCCTCCAGCGCTATCCCATCGAGCACTCCGGTGACTTCGGCCACACCTTCGCCATCAAGCAGTGCTGTGCCTTCCAGCACCCCAATTCCTTCCAGCACCCCTGTCGTCTCTGTGACCCCATCGCCATCTAGCAGTGCCGTTCCTTCAAGCAGCCCAATTCCTTCCAGCACCCCTGTCGTCTCTGTGACCCCATCGCCGTCTAGCAGTGCCGTTCCTTCCAGCACCCCAACTCCTTCTAGCACCCCTGTTATTCCTGGAACATCTGCTTCGAGCAGCCCTGTTTCCTCAAGTACCCCAGTTACCTTGAGTACTCCTGCTTCGTCCAGTACCCCGGTCATTCCCGGTACTTCATCCTCTAGCAGCACTGTCTCCTCTAGCAGCACGGTTGCTTCAAGCAGCCCTGTGTTTTTGAGCACCCCGGTCATTCCCGGAACATCTGCCTCGAGCAGCGCTGTTTCCTCAAGCACCCCAGTTGCCTCAAGTACTCCTGTTTCATCCAGCACCCCGGTCATTCCCGGAACATCTGCTTCAAGCAGCCCTGTTTCCTCAAGTACCCCAGTTGCCTCGAGTACTCCTGTTTCGTCCAGCACCCCGGTCATTCCCGGAACATCTGCCTTGAGCAGCCCTGTTTCCTCAAGCACCCCAGCTGCCTTAAGTACTCCTGCTTCGTCCAGCACCCCGGTCATTCCCGGAACATCTGCCTCAAGTACTCCTGCTTCATCCAGCACCCCAGTCATTCCCGGAACATCTGCCTCGAGCAGCGCTGTTTCCTCAAGCACCCCAGCTGCCTCGAGTACTCCTGCTTCATCCAGTACCCCGGTCATTCCCGGCGGCTCATCCTCTTCTAGCGAGCCAGTCGCTTCGTCGACGCCTCTGATTACCTTGACATTGACAGTTTCGCCTACGCCCGTGCCCAGCTCATCCTCCGCCTCCGGCACCCCCTCTACAAGCAAGCCTGTCATCCCCAACACTTCGTCGACCTTTGGACAGTCCAGCGTCCCTGTTCCTTCCAGTGCTCCTCCCACCGGCTCTACGAGTGTCCCTGGCACCAGCTCGGGTGCGGTCGGCCAGTCAGGCTCCAGCTCCACCGGTGTGTCCAGCTCTACCCAGACTGACGTCGGCACTTCCCCGTCGCAAACCGCCGGCCCATCGACAGCCGTCACTGCCACCACGTCCTCGTCTTCCTCTTCCACCGACAAGAGCTCTACTACTGTCGGCAGCGGCAACGGCAACGGCAGCGGCAATGGCAGCGGATCCACAACCACTACCGCTGCGACCGACTCCATCACCGCTGTGCCTACCGCCAGCTCTTCAGTCGCCGCTACCGGCGCTAGCTCGGAGCCTGTGACCATTACCACTGTTATTGTGACTTCCTACATCGATATCTGCCCTACTGGCTTCACCACTGTGACCACTACGTACACAACCACATATTGCCCGGGTACTAACACTGCAACCGCCACGGCCACCGTTACAAACCCTCCATCTGGACCCGGTGGAGCCGGATCGCAAACCCCAGCTCCCACTGTTCCCGAAGGCTGGACCACCACTGTGACCGTCTGCACTCAGTGCGCTGCCAAGCCAACCACCGTGACGTTGACGCTGCCTGTGACTGCCACCGAGACTGGAACTAAGTCGACTTCGACCGGCGTCGTGCCCGCACCCCCTGCCGCTACTGGCGAGGGATCGAATCCCACCCAACCATCGGGTGTTTCCCCCATCGGTGGTGCCGGCGGCTCTTCTGAAGGAGAGGTTCCTCCCCCAGCAGTGACTCACGTCAGCACGAGCACCAACATCGTCACGGTGATTCGTCCCACTTCGAGCCGCCCCGTGATCCTCGGTACTGGCGCTGTCCGCCCTTCGTCGACACTGGCTGTGAAGCCATCGGCCAAGCCATCGGGTCAAACCTCTGGCAGTGGCTCTCACGTGCCCATTCCTCCTAGCAGCACTCAAGAAGGTGTATCGCCCTTGTCCACCGGTGCCGCCTCGCGCATGGCTGGACTGGGCCACGGCTTGGTCCTCACGGTTCTCGCCCTGTCGGCGTTCTTCGTGTTGTAGAGCGCCAAACCTTGTGAGAGATGTCATGTGGGCAGATAATGTATAATGAAGGACTGCTGTTCTAGCTGACACTGTTTTTTTATTTTTTTTTATTTCGATGTGTTTACATTACAATTCGACCCGGTCCAGCCTGCGCTGGACCTTAATTCAAGCAGTCCTATACCACTTTTCACACTCGACGCAAAGCGTCCCAATTTCTTTGTCACATTCGATCGATGCATGAAGCGTTGGCATATTGTATAGAGCATGAGACTTGCATTTTGACGTCACAACAAACTTCTCCAATAGCATAAGACATTCTCTATCTATTGAAGTATTAGCAGATCGGTAACGGGTCAACCATCCTAGACATAATTGAGCTGCTCGGCGGTACGCAGCGCCGTGAAATGATGATGCCTAAACGTACCTAGTCGTCTTGAGCCAAGCGGGGGAATAAATTACCAGTTACGTAGAGAAACAAGCTTTCAGGGCCAAGACGGGTCGATCCGACAGACCCAACCCGTCATCCGGCGTATTACGTATGAGTCGTATGGATTTCAATGAGTCTATACCTCTAATTAATGGTGTTTGTTTCTGTTGGGTTTAGAGAGATTGATTGATATTATTCTATTAAAGAAACAAGAGTGTCAGGACCAGAGCTGTCATCGTAAGGTACTCCGTAAGGTGCCGAGTTGCGCCACAAATACGCTAAAACGGCTCAGGGGCTGATGTGGCTGAAAGGCTGAAGTGGACCTATCACAGTTACGACAGAGGCCCAGCGATGAGGGGCGTGTCGTGGCTGTTTGGCTGTTTGAGCGCGATTTACGAGTGCCTCTCTAGATATCACTCACTTCGCTGCGATGGATCCGCATCCTGGAGCGAACTAAGATAATAGTCCCTTATTTTAGTAAACCCCCCAAGGCGATCGGAATAAACAAATGTATAAATATCCAGGACCCTCCTTAGCTGGCGTGATGGAGTCCAGTCTCCTTTTCTCTCAGCTACTCTTCTCTTCGCACTGTTGATTACACTTACGTATATCATACCTGTTTCTTCTAATATTTCAAGTCACTATGGACGGCTTCCTCGGTAAAATCATCGAAAAAGTCGCCGAGAAAGCTACTGGCAGCAGCGGCGGCGAGGGCTACTCCTCCTACAACCAGCAGCCCAGCTACGGTGGACAGGGTCAGGGTTACAATTCAGGTCCTGCCCCTCCCCGGGACCTCCCTTACCCGTGGGTCGCCCGCTGGGATGATCGCGACCAGCGCTGGTTCTACGTGAACGAGCAGACCGGCGAGAGGTCCTGGGAGCGACCGTACGGTCAGCGTCAGCCTTCGTATGGGTATGAAGGCGGCTATGGGCAGCCGCAGGGACAGCGACCGGAACAAAAGGATCATAGTATGATGTATGGTGCGGCGGCGGGGGCGGCCGGTTTGGTGGGCGGTGCGTTACTGATGCATGAGGGGGAGAAAATCCGTGAGTTGTCCTCTGATTGGAGCCGGAAAAGGCGCGCTGTTAACTTTGTACAGATGATAAGTGGGATGAGGATAAGGAGAGAATCGAGCAGAATGTTGAGGATTTCCCTGAGGATGCGGCACGGTGGACCGGCGAAAAGGTTTGTGCTCTTCTGTCGTGCTTGCAGGATGACCTGCTGTACTCCGTACGGGCGCTGACAAAAAGGATATCAGGTCGGTGAAGTCGAGCAGATCCCAGAGAATATTGAACAGGACTGGGATCGCACCGAGGACCGCATCGAGAATAAGTGGGACAATGCGGTTGACGACGTGGAGGACTTTCCTGAGAATGCGGCGGAATGGACTGGACGAAGAGTCGGCGAGGTGGAACAATTTGGCGACAATATAGACAATGCCTATGACGAGGGAAGGGCTGAGGGTCGGGATGATTGGTAGGCGCCTTCATCAAGGGGACTGTCTGGGCTTTTGATCATACTGCATTTTTACAAGGTGATTTATGCATAATGCACATAGCAGTATTGCGCTCATGATGGACCTGTCGATCAATAGCAATGTTTGTATTCACACTGCATATCCGTATATGCTCTGAAGAAGCTTCACTTGCGGCACCGTTGATTCCCCCGCACGTGGCCCCGGGCCTCGGCTGCGGAGAAACGGTTGTTCATCCATCATCCTTTGCTATTAAACCATCATGCACATCGCGCTGCAGGCCAGCGGCGCGGGCTTCATTGATATTTAATACTGAGATTTGTCGGAATTGGGAGATTTAGTGACACACCAGCCGCAGTCAGAGATTGACCCGGACTGCCATGTCCAAGCCATCCCTTCCACTCGCAGGAGTTCGAGTCGTCGAGCTGGCAGGCCTGGCTCCAGGTTCGTACCATACCTGCACTTGGGCAAATTTTCTGTGTCTAATCCATATAGGCCCGTTCGCTGGACTTCTACTCGCAGACTATGGCGCGTCAGTGCTGCGCGTTGATCGGCCGAATTCCATCTCCACAGACCAGTTGACTCGCCGGAAAACGTCCATCACGTTGGACCTGCGGGACAAAGCTTCGCACCGCCTCCTTCTCTCCGTACTGTCAAAGGCCGATGTCCTGATTGATCCCTACCGGCCGGGCGTGCTGGAACGTCTGGGCCTCTCGCCGTCCGACGTACTCCTAAAACACAACCCGCGCCTGATTGTGGCTCGCATGACGGGCTTCCGTCGCGACGGCAAATACAAAGACATGGCGGGCCATGACATCAATTACATCGCGGTGTCTGGAGTGCTGTCCATGCTTGGCCGGAAGGGAGAAGCCCCCTATGCACCGGGCAACATCCTGGGCGATTTCGCCGGCGGAGGCGCCATGTGCTTCCTGGGGATTCTGCTGGCGCTGTTGGCGCGCGCACACACGGGACGAGGCCAGGTGGTCGAAGCCAACATGGTAGACGGGTCCGCGTACTTGGCGACGATGCCGCGGCTGACTCGGCAGACGCCGCTGTGGAACCTACCCCGCGGCGAGAATATGCTGGACGGCGGCAGTCCCTTCTACGGCACCTACGAGTGCAAGGACAGGGGCAAGTATTTTGCGGTCGGAGCGTTGGAGCCGCAGTTCTACGCGGCGCTGATCAAGGGGCTGGGGTTTGAAACAGGGGAGCTCCCCGCACGGGACGACAGGGCGAATTGGCCCGCCCTGCGAGCCGCGTTTGAGCAGCGATTCAAGGAGAAGACGCGGGCCGAGTGGGAGGCCATCTTTGACGGCACGGATGCTTGCGCGACGCCCGTGCTGGAGCAGGCGGAATTGGAACAGAGTGGCTACGAGCAGAGACCTGCGGTGCACCTTGTTGACACGCCCGGTCTTCCGATCCCGGCTGATGACGGCGGATGGACAGGAGGCGGGCTGTTACCCGGTACCGGTGGGCAGGAGACTCTCAAGGCATGGATGGGATGGGAGAAGGGACGGGACTTTGATATCCGAGGGGATGGAGCATTGGTGTGGATCAAGGGAGGCAAGTCCAAACTGTAGGTAGCGTAGCTGGTGTCTCAGAATGGCCTTCTAGAGCGACGACGGTCATTGGTGGATGCGATCACGATGACACCCATGACTCTCAAGGGAGAGAAGCTTTGACCATTCAGTATGTGCGGGAATCGCAAGATGTGAGACTAAGTTTAGGGCTGAGAGACGAGATCTGGAGATTCAATTGGTTTTCCCTTGTTTGATTTTGTGGGATGAGGAGATTCTCAGCCACAGCCACAGTCAACACCCGACTCGGTCAGTCAAATCGGTCGGTCGGTCGGCATCAGCAGGGCAGCAATGGCCCATTTCAATTCGTACAATTAATTCGATTTCATCGTAACAGATGGGTGATGGAGATTCAAAAATAATGATAATGCTGCATGATTCAGGCATGTGTGCACAAGTTGATTATGCAGACTGCAGCGCGTATCTCCGGTACATATCTTTTACTCTGGTTATGGTATGAAATACCTGGTACCTTACTAGGCTTACCACCTACCTGGATTGGAATCCATGGCGAGCTGAAAAGGAGCGAAAGCGGCGGAGATTGCCCCATTCAAACAGCTCTTGGAAATGTTACAATGGCTGAATGTAACCTGCAGGAGTTCCGGTGGGATGATTCGATGACTGAGCGTTATCAGTGTAGACTTAGACTACCTACCTAATAATCGCGTCATTTTATACTTTCACCACTTTTGGGTTGAGGTGACATTGCAGCGGAGAAACCTATACAAATCTGTCGCCATTACTGTAAGTGATAGTCAGGGCAGAGTAGGGTATGTACCTACCTTACTGTGCCTGACTAAAGCTATAAGACACTCTCTCACTTCTCTCGGTAGCAATATTTCTTTCTTCCGTGCTCCCGGTCATTTCTCCAGATGGTGGAGTGTTCTACGTCATGATGCCCCAGTCCAGACTAAATTAACGGACATTGGATGCAGAAATTGACTCGACTTGTTACTCAGGTACCACTGAGGGTAAAACTGACAAGGCATTCGTACCTTTCGAACCTTGGATTGAATCTGTGGTACGACTGCAAGTGGGTATGGTATTTACCAGTATTATACCTACCATATCAGGACCCCACGTGCCTGAAACTGTGGCGCAGCACTGCTATACTGGTTAGACACACAGACACGGATAAGCTAAACGAGATACCTAGGTTGCGGAGTAAGGTAGGTATGTTCAGCTTGTAAATGTAAAACCACAAGCCACCAATACTCCGTAGTCCGTATTGATTTATGGGAAGTAGCTAAACTAGTTAATGTAATTCCCAGGTGAGCCGCCCACCCTAGCGAGCCGCCCATCTCTGTATTCCATATAAAATGGCACCCTTCAAGACTTTGATATCTCAACAACCACGCATCTACAGGGGCTAAATCTAGGCATGAGGTATATTATAGTCATATACTTATAATCTATAGCCTCCTCGCGTATGTATACATGTAGCTAACATAAAATACTCCTGTAATTTTAGTAATTTTAACTTCTAGACATTAAGAGAGAGAAACAATATTTTAGCATCCTAAGAAAGAGTATTTATATACTTCAGACTATATACATTCTAAATATATTACTTAGATAATAGCATATGTGACTATGGTTGAGATATCTAAGCCTTGACAAGTGCCATTTTATATGGAATACAGAGATGGGCGGCTCGCTAGGGTGGGCGGCTCACCTGGGAATTACATTACATTATCTTGTAACGCTGACAAAGGTAGACTTGGTGCGTGCCCTATCCACGCATCATGACTGGACTAGAGAACCCACATGGACGACTGCATTGACTCTTGAATCTTGAATCCTGATGCTTCAGTGCCAACTTAGCTGCTCAACAGGAAAACAGCTACAAGCAAATTGATACAAGGCACGGACCTTTGTTTGTTTAATGTTTTGTTAAGTACTACCTTGTCATTATTACCCTAACATGAAAGGCTTTACCTCGGTGGTTGTGTGGTTCCAGTGGTGGAAGACAAAGGGAATGTCATCAAGTCATGACTTCATTGTGATGTGATGTCTCTTTCTTGTTCTTTGGTAACCAGTCTAAATTGCTATATTCTAATTGTTGGTATTATTATTTGGTATTATTATTCAGATGGTCCTGGAGGTAGGTACCTACGTAACCATCAACCAGTACTCTGTAGTTATTCTGTGGATGAGACATGTGGCTGTGCTGATGTTTACCAATTACCATATCTTCCCTAAGGCACCCACCTTGACCTAGGTAAATGTGTGCCTGTATTTGGTAACAGTACCAGTAAGATACCAGTCTGTACCAACCAAACTAGGTCCTGAAAACAAAAACTACCTTACTTTTTTCTGTTGTTCGCCTTCTTTCGCTCATCTCATCGGCCGACCGATTCACACCCCAAACTAGGGTATCTTTAAACAGCCATAGCTCTCCTCTTGTCTCGTCGAGGTTGGCTGATTTCTATTACCTTCTTCTTCTTCTTCCTATTCTCCTCTACTTCTCAGCTGTCATCTATTGCCAGCGTGTCTATCCAGAGTGGCTTGCTGAATCTGCAGTCAGATAATCGCCCCAGAGCGCCAAGGCCTCCCCTCGTGCCTGTTCCCAAAGCGGCCTGATCGATCATTCTCCCTGTCGCTACTCCTCACGGCGTTGAGTGCTGCTCCCTGTAACCTCGACTGAGAACAGAAAGTCGGCCGCTTCGAGCATTGGAATCTTTGCGTTTGGTTTCTCTTTTGAAACTCATTAATCCGCACGATTCCTTTGTTGAACCAATCCTTTTTTTCCCCCATCTCTCTTTTCTTCGCTGCAGCCGCCGGATACCGCTGCAACGGAATCGCCGGCCAATTCGCTGATCCATCCATCATCGCGCGACAAGACAAATTCGGGTTCCCTTACTTCCAACACGCCTCTTCCTTCCATTCGCAATCAAGGCGGCTTTTTGCAGTCGCTTTCTACTCGCCAAGACAGCTAGTGCCACTGCGCTCTTGTCGCCTCTACTTAACTAGTCACCTTGGAAACATCTTTTCTCCCCCAACTCTCAACAGCTTTCGGTCCTGCATGGCTGGCGTGCAAGCTCCGCCCACCATGACCGACTATCGACTCCCAGTTCACCAGGCACCTCCTCGGAAGCCCGTCCCTGGCATGCATCGTGGATACCCTTTTCAATCCTACGAGCCTCACCAGCAACAACAGCCGCACCACTATCGTTCGCAGCAACAGCAACAGTACCACCACCAACAACAACAGGAACAAGTGTCTCCCCATCCCTCCGTCTCCTCGGCCAGCCGCAATCGAACTTCTTCGTCCCATGTCTCGCCGTACGGGGCGCATCAGCAACAATATGCCGGTGCCCCTTCGCCGCATTACACAATGACCAGCCACGTTAGTCACCCGTCGAGGCGCCTGTCTAGTGCCACCACCTCCACCAGCTCGACCGGAAACAACTTTAGCTCTGATATCCGCCGGAGTACATCATCCCGTTCGACCAACGCTCAAGTCGGCTACGTGGCTCTCATGCGCAGGCAGAAGGCAACTGTCTGGTGTGATCGAGCTCAGCCTGAAGATCCCCGACTTCGGGCCCAAAAGCTGGCGGATAAGAAGAGGGCCTACCTGGAAGTCCATGGCGCTGGCGCCGGACGCACCGGTACCCTGGGAAGCGGCAAGAACAAGCTTGGAAACAAGGGAGTGAAAGAATTTTCGGCGTCAACTCTCGTTGGAGCGACTGTTCCGGTCCGACTCAGTGCAAACGAGGTGGGCGACGGAGATGAGGATGGACATAGTGACAGTGGATTTCCTCATCGCCGCACGGGCAGCGGCCGCAGTTCTCTCGGGAGCAATTACCGCTACCCTAGTGGCTACCAGCGGCCTCCCCAGGCCACCCCTGGGAGTAATAATACTCCTCCCAACGAACAGGTTGATCTTCCGGAGGTTACAGAAAATCCTCCGGCCGAGCGCCACGAGTTGGAAAAAGTCCCATCTGCCAGAGACGATTCTGCCACAAGTCATAGCAAGACCAGTGAGCAAGAGGATAGCTTCGGGTCAGTAGGTGACATGGGTGCGCCCAGTGCCGCCACCACCGCCGTTGAGAAGGCCCGGAAGGCGGACGAATTGCGGCGCAGGGGCAGTGTGGATGAACGGACGACCACGATGACGAATGTGCGACTCTTCGTCGCAAATCCCGATCTCAGTGATTAAGTGTTGTGCCATGCGGACATTACGCCAGCACTTTGTCGCTTGAGCAGCAATCAGAGACAGCCGGGCTCGGGTTCTGATAGCAGGACTCATTACCCAATTTTATGCTGGGCATAAAAAAAGGGGGCCCCTTCGCTCTCAACATCACTTACTATCCATGCTCCTACCTTTCTTTTCCTTTCTGCGGACGGCTGTCCATCTTTACTGCTGCATACTGTTCATGATGGGTCGCTTGAAGGCTCAAGCTGGCCCCTTCTTATTTCACGTGGGGTTGTTCTACTTTCACTACGTCCTTCATCTCTGTCTACGGCGCATACGTTTTCATCTGCTCGCTGTGTGTATTTGCATCTTTTGCACCTTTTAGGCGCTCTTATACCAATCTCTTACGCCATACCGCTAATTCTAATAATATGACTTGTACATACCAAACAGTGATTTTTAATTGACGTAGGCACACAGCTGCTGACAGTCGCATTTGTCAATCGTGCACGGAGTACGAGAACAAGGCTGTCTATCTATTCCTTAAGACGTTACGAGTCCGGTCCCGAAATGTATCCCTAATTCGAATGGACTCACTTCTAGAAATCCTCCTTTCACGTTGAACAGGCATGCCTTTCCATTATGTGATACGTCACTGTCCATGACTGCGTATGAGATCGATCACAAGACACATCCCTGCCTCAGGCAACCGGAGATTACGGTTCTCTGGTCCGACGCAAAAGGAAAAAGTGCGCTCTTGCCCCGATGCCGCTACCACTGTCGTTCTATCCGACCTCCAAGTCCGTCCACACACTGGCCGGTCTCTCCAACCCTCAATTCTCAACCCCTTGCGTCGCGCCGGAGCTCAGACACGGGAGAGTGCACGTTTGAAACCCTTGAAGCACTTGAAATGCCTCGAGGCCTTGCACTCAGCAGTACATCGCATGCGAACGGTGAGATACCGCCGGGACGCAGACGCAATGCAGGCTGCTCGTTGATGCGGCAGATGAAACTGAGCGATTAATGCAGTGGAATGAGGCGCAATTCACCGCGCAGATAGATACTCTTACTGGTGGAAAGCCCATATTTCCTGGATTGGTCCGTTTGGGGCCTTCGTTTCCATCTGCTGGGTGCTGAAGTCGGAGCGGGTGCTGCAGAATGATGAACTGCTGGATTTGATTGATCCTTATCTAGGCCGAACATGTGTATGAATAGAAACACTGGTTAAACATGAGCAGGTCTTCTCGCTTCATCAGCCTCGACGTCATCTGTCAGTCCTCGGCTGTTGGGTCTCCTACCTATACCGGGATCTCTCGATTTACCAGCTTCGACTCACGGATGACCCAGGATGATCGACATCGGTATGTGGATATCTCCCTATCTGTATCTGAGATCGCCTGCTTCTCACAATTCGTTTACCCCATTTTCCGATGTTGATTTTGAACTTTATGGACATGACCAGGCAGTAGCTGACTGAGCCAAGTGCTAAAAAGATACAAGGTAATGGTGCCCTCCAGATTGTTGGGCAACGGATTGCGATGATCCGGAGGAAGACTGAGTTAATAATGACGATGCTGCACGAGGAACTGTCCACATAAAACTGCATATGGTAGACTTCTAGGATACTCTGTACGATCTCGGTGGTGCTTATTATGGTGAAGTCCATGGTGATGTGATTCCAGTAAATTCCAGAGGTTCCATGTTGGCACAGCGACCTCAGCTGAGTAGATCATTGCCATTACTGCAATGAATATAAGCTGCGGAGAGTTTCAGTCCAAGTCAATCAAGGACTCTTTTCGTCAACTGTCACAATAAGCCTCATTCTACTCCCCTGCGGCGCAAGCGTTGAGTAGATCAACCATCGACACTCAGCTTGATGTCTCTTGATTCGATCCCCGAAATCCATTCAAGGATGGTAAAGCTGGACTGAAGTCACCAGTGCAGCAATATATCTGCAATCCCATACCCTAAAGCTGCTAGAGCTAGACTTTCAGGTCGCTTCATATTCACCAGCTCATGGCTGGAAGGGCACATGGAATCACTTTAAACCAGCAAGAAAAAGGCGCTGAAATGGAAAGGGGGTTAAAGCAGCGGGAAAGCACGTGCTTTTTCCCTCCGCAGACGCGAAGAAGGCGCGAACTTCAATTAACGCGTGTCTCACAACACGGCAACGGAAGGGTCACCGACCTGACCTCTCATGGCTTGACCTTCCTGAGAAGTCTCCAGGCAAAGGAATTGACATCTCGATTCTGTTGTTTTAACTAGCCTCGAGACCAGCACAGAATGGAAGTATCCGTTGAGAGCTCGTCAAGTCTCTCTCCCCTTCCACCCCAATCATATCCCACTTCTCCGTCAGCCTCGAGAAAGCGCTCAATCCAGGAGATTGACGCATCACCACATTCGCCAGAGAGCAGGAAGGCATCGAAAATATGTGATCAAGAAAATCAAGACCCATCATTATCTCAAGTTGCAGCGTCCTGCACCCTGACCGAGCAACATCTCAAATCACCATCAGTTCCCCCAGCCAGCATTGAAATTTCGAATCAACAAAATGGTGCGAATACAACAACGCCTGGCGGATCGGTGTTTGTAGCAGTCCGTCAGCCAAGCTCTACAGTGGAAACCACTTCAAGGAATACACAACCATCTACCCCTACGAAGAACACCAACGCCACTACGCCGACTGCGAAAAAGCTAAAGTTGTCACCTGCAAGCAAAGAAGCTAGGCAACAGGAAAAGGAAGCAAAAGAACGGCAGAAGTTAGAAGAGAAAGCCAAGAAAGAAGAGGAGAAGCGCATAAAGGAAGAAGAGAGAAAAAAGCGCGAGGCTGAACGTGAGGAGGAACGTAAGCGAAAAGAAGAGAAGAAAAGACTGAAGGAAGAAGAGAAGGCTGCTAAAGAGGAAGAGAAACGCAAGAAAGAAGAGGAGAAGTTGAAGAAGGAACGGGTAAGCATTCTGCCATCCATAGATGGCACTTTTCAATTCAATGCCCTCGTCTGCTTGCTAACGTCGGATTAGGCGCAGACGAAACTGAATGCCTTTTTCGCCAAACCCAAACTTCCAGCGCAGCCAGCCGATGATACTTCTTCCGACTCACCCAAGATATCGATCGCTGATGGCGCCTCGAACTTGACGTCTCAGAACCCTACTCCGCCTATTTCTGACTATCAACGAGAATTTCCAGACTTCTTCCTACAGTCTCACACAAGAATTGCGCCGCCGCACCGATTCGAACGCGACCCAGAGGCTCTTTCTCACATGCAACAAAGGGTCGATGCTTGCCTACAATCCTACCGGAATGGGTCCGCGCAGCCTTTGTCATTCCGCCCATCTGAACTATTCCGAATCATGCCGTATAACCGGCGGCGTGGAAGACAGGCTGCCTCGGTCAAAGAGATTCTGCTCAGAATGCAGAGTCTCAACGAGAAGTCTGACCCTGATTCTGCACGGCGGGCGCAGGAATTGCTCAGACGCATCAAAATGAAATCTCTGAAGTTTGGTGAAGATGTTCGACCTCCCTACCAGGGCACTTTTACCAAGACGCTTCTGGAATCTGCTGCTTCTAAACTCATGCGCAATCCCTTCCACCGTGGCCTACCCGACATCAACTACGATTATGATTCCGAGGCCGAGTGGGAGGAGCCGGAAGAGGGCGAAGATCTTGATTCCGAGGAGGAAGAAGAAGGAAGCGAAGAAGGTGACGATGACATGGATGGGTTCCTGGACGACGATGAGGATAACCTGGAGGGCAAAAGACGCTTGATAGTAGGAGATTTGGAGCCTCTGAGTACCGGACTACGCTGGCAAGGTGAAGGCGGAGACCACGAGCTGGAAATGTACAGGATCCAGACGATCACGGACTCGGTTACCTTCCCTATCGACCCATTCTCCACGGCATATTGGCAGAAACCAAAGCCAGCAGAGCAACTCCCAACAGGTGGCGTGGGACGTTCCACTCTCCATTCATTCATGGTCGTTCCTCCGAGCACTCAATCCCAAACTGCTGCGCCTACTACCGAAGGAGGAACCCCGACCCTTTTGACCGCAGGTGGCAAGGCGAAGCGCACATTGACACCAGAGCAACTGGCCGAATTTAAAGAGGTGGTGAATGGTAGCGACCTGACGAAGACAGGTCTGATCGAGGTTCTGAAGAAACGGTATAAGTCTTTCTACGATTTTCACTTCAGCTTCGTGCTAATGACACTCCACTAGATTTCCAAAGGTATCGAAAGATGTCCTTAAGGAGACCCTTACTCACGTCGCGACGCGTGTTGGACAACGAGAGGTCGAGAAAAAGTGGGTGTGCAATTAGGAGGACGAAGGGAGGACAATATCCATATCAGCGTAGAGCCGCAAGATATAGACTGCCTCGGTTTGCAAAGATGGGAGTTATGGGCGTACGTCGTTATTCTAGAATCACTGCGGGGCAATTCCCAAGACGTCTACGGGTTGAGCGTCTGTGATTTCATGGTCATTTGTGGGAAAACAGCATGAATCGAGTCCAACTGATTGCATTTACGATACCTGTGCTGGCTGTGGCACTTGAACTTGTTGCGTCTCATCTTTAGGTCGCAGAAGCGAAAAACGATAGCAGAGATCGGATTGAACTATATTGCCCTCCATTATAATGTCCAATGTAAGAATAGAATATGTGCAGACTTCCATTCTGTTCTTCAGCTCATCTTGAACAAGTGCCAGACTGCCAGGACAGCTGAACTGCTCTGAGGCACATAGATCACAGTAACCTAGAGAGGTTAGACTGATCTCTGGGGTGGTTGTCGATTGGGACACGTGCCATGTGGGGGAAGACAGCCTGTCTTCTTATTAATATTGACTCAAGTCAAAAAGTGTAATCCCGAGTGCTAAGGTCTTCATAGGTAGCCAAGGAAGGTGTCCGTCTACCGACTGTTGTCCACGCCGGAAAATATTTCGAACCTCGGAATCCTTGGAGTCTTTTCTTGTCTACTATTATCTATATGCAGCTGCAAGAGATACCTTACCCTATGCAGCCGGGATAATCATGAGGATGAGTCTTTTTCCATTTTCATGGAAGTGTTTCAACAATGACCAGAGGAGATGAGAGTCAAGAGACAGCTGGTGGGAGGGATGAGGAGGGGCACTGACCAATCAGAATAGGAAAAAGCGACAACTCGCCATGCATGCAGTGCCAACTCATCAACTACAGTGCTGTCTACTCCGTTACCTCAAGCATCAGCGTTCCCATCAATCCACGATACCCTTGGTCTAGGTACTTCGGAAAGGTACCTACGTAGGAAACTACAATAGGCGAGGTACCTACTACCTACTCCAGAGTCAGTCAGTAACAAACTCCTCTCATTCGACACCGATGCGCTTTCGTGGCCGTCTCCAGCCATCCATGAAGTCGAGAAGGACGATCTGCGACCGAACCGGAATCATCTTGCTCTAGACGATCTGCAAGGCGACCAAGTGGGAAACGTCTCTGGCTTTCGCGGAGGTTATCGAAGAATTCCTTTCTCCGTAGTCTAGTTTACTCTGTGGAGAGTCTACTCATTATTATTCTTGATGGCAAGGAGCAAACACAAGTACGAAGTAGCAAATAATACCGAGAGCGTTGATTCAAACTATAGCAATCTGGCTCGAGGCAATAATACCATTATTATTGCAGAACAGTGACTCTGACTCAAGAATTCTTCTGGTCCTACACTAAAACAAACTCTCAGCAACCATCAAGAAAGGGACACACATTATCTATCTAGCCCCTCTTCCAGCTGGGATCATTTCCTCCTACCAGAAGCAGTAGCAGTAGTAGCATTATTGATTTGTTGGCAGTAGTCACCACTGCATCTAGTATTACTCTCTCTATCCATCCATCCATCCATCCACTTGTCCTCCATTTCTCTCTTTCGTTTCCTGCATGTCATCTTTCGATTCTTCGACGTACTTAGTCAAGCATCCATCCTGGAAAAGATAATCCTATCTATATCCATTATCCTATCGTCTCTTTCTTCTAGTCCTCTCTCTCCCACTTCCTCTTCTGCCTGCCAGGCCTTACCTCGCATACTACAGTAGAAGGAGACTATTTGATTGCTTCTTCAATTCTTTCCAATAATTATCCACCTATTTCCCATACGACGTATCACCACTATCATTGATTGACTTCCTCACCCTCTTTCTGGATTCCTGCATCACACTAGCACGCCGCCTCTCTACCATCACTCTTCGTATAACTGCGACAAAATCCCCGAGCTTCCTCCCGTCCACTGCTTCGTCTTACCTCGTATCTTTCACGGCTCTCCATCTCACTCTGGAGCGCTCGGCAGTTGCGGACAATCCTCAACATCGTGATGAGGAGCTGTCTTCGATCTCATCAAGTTCAGTAAGGGAATCATGTGCTAAAGAGCAGGTTTCTGGCGTCCGAGCCATTTCGCGATCTCGATTGTCCTCTTGGCTGGGTGGCCGGGGCGCTGTCCATGGCAACACCATGTTCGATGCCCAACGCGATGGTCTACCGTCAATTCTGGCCTCTTATGTGACCTGTGAGTACACCCTATCCCTTCGCCTCCGTTATTCCAAATTTAAATCGGACGGAAGAGCGGATTCTTTGCTCTTGTGACAAGCAAAAGTCTCCCCCTTGTTCAGTCCCTCCCGCCAATAGTTGTTTTCTGAGGTGCTGATTTCCAACTCTGATTTAACTAATATCCCTATCTCAGCCCTGTTGCCCCTATCATCTCAGGCTACTTCAACATGTAATTCCGCGAGTCGCGCGCAAGATTCCTCCTCGGTGTCTCAGCCATCTACTGTTCCAACTCCCAGCATGTCGCCCATGCTGTTGGTTCCTGACGACGGGAGCGTTGATCGCTCCCCCGTTTCTCAGGTTGATCTGACCATAGGTGAGTCTGAGGACTCGGGCCGTTCCAGTGCGCAATTCATAGCAGCTCCCGTGCGCTCGGATGGCCGCCAGGCAATGGATCAACCACCAATAACAATCACATCACCATCCGTATCAACAGAACCCTCCAAGGTGTCATTCGAGGATTTTGCGATCCGCTATCGCCAAAATCAGCACAAGCAAGCCCGTCGCAAAACGCTGGAAAACCGTCTTCATGCCACCAAGATATCCATCGGTATCTCCGCGCGCTTGGTTCGCGTTGGAGGCGTCGTGCAGCGCGGTTTAGTCGAAAGTCTCAAACACGAGGATAAGGCGAACTTCCTTGCCTTGTATCATACCATTTTGGACCTTCAGGATTCCCATGATCTGGCCATGCGTCGCCACTTCCACCGCCAGGACCCATCGGAAGACTGGTCCTCAGCGCAGGAATCTGCTGTGGAACGTTCCCCGGATTTTTTCCTTCAGCTCAGCCCTCAGTCAAGGTCCGATCTTCTTGGGATTTTGCAGTTGGTCCGGACCAACCCTCAGTTCCTTTGTGAGAGGTTGTGCAGCTTGACAGCCGCACAGCTGAATGCCTTGTTATCCTCGTCGGCCACATCTCTGGACTCTGGTGACCACACATTCCTTTCTGCGGCCCGTTCACGGAACCAGTATTCTCTACCTAAACGCACTTCTGCTGCATCCGTTCCTTTCCGAGATCATGCTGTCAATTTTGAGAGAACGGACGCTATCTCCAACTTGGTCTTCAATGTTTTTGCTACCCCCTTGGACTCTGATACCCCAGAGGCTCGCTTGCGTTTGGATGTTTGGTCTTCTGTTTGCGCTGAACTTATCACCCAAGGAGGCAATAGGTTCTATCCCCTCATTGGCCACATCCTCTCAACCTGGACGATGGGTAGCGCCTGGAAAGCCAGACCAAAGTTTGAGCTCTACCTCATGGACATCCTCCAGACCGGCGCGTTCCTCCTGGAGCATATCGAAACCCCAGCCGGACTGGGCTTTGATGCGGGGTCCCTTGACCCCTTGAAAACTGACGTTGCTGAGGAATATTTCGCCTCTGCTGTAGATGCCCTATTCAAACTCCTTGATGACCCAGATGCAGGCTTTCCTCATGCCGTGTTCAAGTTCGCTCGCGCCATTTTGCAGAAACTGGATTATCCGGACTGTCGTGCTCGATTTCTAGAGTATTTGCTCCTCCAGTGGTTCTTCCCTAAATTTATCTCTGGGGCTCTTGCTTATCCGGAGGTCTGTTCCAGCCCGTCCTAAACGTTGCGATTCTTGGACTCTAGAGAACTGATCCCCCTCTTTCTTTTAGGCCCTCGGTCTTCTTCTTGATTTCCATATCAGGAAAGATGCCAGAGAAAAGCTCCTTGGACAGGTTGCCCTTAGGGCGTATTCGCAGGTCTTTGCTATTCTACGCTCAATGTAAGTGCTACCATTTCTGAACTTTTCGATGAGAGAGAGAGAGAGAGAGAGAGAGAGAGAGAATTGTCCTAAACCATTGATCTCCTGCGACAGGCATCACTTTTCAATGACTCGTCCTGCGGTCCGCCAACACGTTGAGAACATGCTTCGTCAGTTCGAGACAACGGACACCGACAACATGCAATTTGCCCAGCCTTCAGAACCCAGAAGTCATCACGAATCACCGTGCGCCTTTCTCATGCTATCTGCTACAGACGTGCTAACCGTGGTGGGCGCCCTGTTTCCCACGGCGACATCTCCCGCATGTAGCTCTCCCACTCCCTCCTCCGGATCATCTGCCTTATCTCCCAGCTCCTTGCAGTCTTTTCCTGAAAGACGTACCACCGCCTTCCCAGAGCCAGGGTTCTACCGGCGTAATCTGAATGGTGGCTCTTCTCCGCAGTTTTCTTCAAAAGCATTCTCCTCCGCGGACATGGATTTTTTTACGTGCTCGGAAGATCGTCTGAGTCGCAACGCTGACCGTATCCGCTTTGAATTGTCTGCCTTGGTCGAGCCTGATAGTCGTCCCGGTCTTGAGTACCCCTCCACGGAAGAATGGGCCATCTTCTCTGTCACCGAAGGCGGTCATCGCCTAGTCCCGGGTTTATTCTCCGATGGCCAGCTCAGTGATACTGATACCTGTCTGTCCACCACTTTGGGCATGGAGGACAACTTCGAAGCTCTCCACACAGCGATCATCAAGCTCGTCCGGGAGAATCCTGCTGGAGATCGCTCAGACTACTGCGCGGAGCGCGACCTAATGCCCCCTTCAGAATCATCTTCGCTGAAGAAAAGATTCAATCAGGCCATGTCACACTGCCACCATACTTCTGATTTTATGGGTGCCCATTATTGGTGGAATGCTAGTCGTCAGCTTCTTCGCAGTGTCGCCGACGTACCCTCTCGCCTTGGCGATGACTCTTGGATCCTGGAACCTATGCACACATCGTGTTCACGCTCGCTCCGGGTAGCTCACT